TTTTTTAAAAGAAAGCGGATACACAGAACTTTAAATATTGGTTCTTGCTTCTCACACTAGATGTCGTATGTTCATTATGTACTTAACTTCAACGCCTATAAAACGATTGCCTGTTCATAATAGATGTTATCTACTAGCTCTAGCCTGAACTTTGACAGTTTACTCCCCAAAAAAATGGGTCCTCAATGCACAAAATATTCGATTCCTTGTACATGGTGTTCCTTGAAAATAACACCATACAGATATTTATTTTATTAGTTTGTGAACCTCTCACACAAGTTAAAGGCATCTTTCCACACTAACGTAAGTTTTTTTTTAAATCTGAGTTCTTATAATTAATACGACATGATTGAAATCGATAGCGTGAAGTAACCCTAGTTTATAATACTTTGCCTCACCAAAAATATCGTTTACGATTTATATTTCCAAACCAGTCTTACATTTTAATGAACGTACGGATTCGTTGCTATATGTACAATTATTCTCCAAACCTGGATAACACAATCGTTTCGTCTGTTTTAAATTACAGAACGTGATGAAATACGAAGGCCTAAGACTATTTTACAATTAAGTCCTTTAAAACTGAGAAAAATGTGCATCAACTTGAATTCCTTGGAATATATGTGCTCGAACTGTTGAATGATATGGATATACTTTACTTTTACAAAACAGGAAACAATGTGGGTGATAATGGTGTAATACAAGCTGTTTTCTTAATGTTAGGGATCTTCTTTATCTCTAGGCGTTTCTTGTTTGAACCGGTGAAGATTATACCTATAAATCTAAATCGCACATAAAATTAGAATATATGCTTCCAACGAGCCGGGGAGATTAAATTACAACTTTCCAATGAGAGAGGGAATAACAAAAAGTTTTCTCGAACGCTTTGAGGTTAATACGACTATACGTAGTCATGTCACGTTACACTTCAGCTTCCTTCCAACGATTTGAGGTTAACATGACTATACGTAGTCATGTCACGTTACACTTCAGCTTCCTTCTCCAACATGTTACAAACACCTCTCATCCAATCCAAGGAAGCTTTGGCCCTCTGGCGTAAGGTAAACGATCTATTTATCTCCCGTGTAAACAACACTACATTATATGTAGAAAAAAAAAAGGGGTGAGGAGAGAACAAGGTAATTTATATCTGAAACGAAGAAAAAGATTCAGCCATGCGCTTGTTTTTAAAAATATGTCCGCTGAAAAAGTAATATTAAAGGGAAATATATCTAACATCTAGGAATGTTTCAAATATTCGTCGTTTTTTAATACTTATTTTAAAGGGAAATATATCTAACATCTAGGAATGTTTCAAATATTCGCCATTTTTAATACTTATGACAGAAAACTGATAAAACGCAAGGGCAGTTTTATCACAAATTTCATATACAGGTAATTTAAACACATTTTTTAATCATATATCTGAAAATGTTGCAATTTATCAAATCACGTAAAGTTCCTTGAGGTCCATCTTCGCTAGCTGTCCCAAATATTGAATTGATAAATAAAATGAAAGCAGCTAGTCAACAGCAGCCATTGCTAGCTCTTGGTTTACTCTAATTAAATAGTGGGATTTTACAGTTTTTATTATATATCGGACACGATCCCAAAGTGTGGAGCGATACGTTTTGTTTTTTTTCGGTGGGAACGGCACGATAACCACTTAGTCGCGTTCTGTTTTCTGAAATAAGCGTTCACAGTTATTATAACTGTATCAACAAGATAAACTTTTTACACCAGTTGAAAGATTTATAGATGTTAGATAATGTTACTTCGTTGAAATAACATTTTTTTTTAATAGCGGGAGTGTATTTGAAAACAAGAGAGGGGTTTGATTTTTTCCCCACTCACTTGAAATGCGCATTACCATATCATTTTTATTTTTCAACTGATTAAAATGCATTATTAATTCCTTGTGATATCCCTCATAATTGTTCCTAGGGTATTGATATTACATCTGCTTTCAAAAATACATTATATATATATGTGGAACACTGATATTGTGTAGGTTTAAAAATATTGTAATTATTTAAAACTTTACTAGAACACACATCATTACGTCCTGCCATCTAGTGTACAAATTCTTAACTTCCATTATCGGATCAGTATTTAACCGGCATACTGCTAACCAAACTTTACAGTTCGTAATCTTCCTGAAATCAAATTAGTGTAACAAAACAATGTAATCGTTTACACTGTATACAGAACTATATATACATTTATTTTTATCACTTAAATCAGTGTACATTAATAACAAGTAACTCTACAGAAAAGATCAGTGCTATGTAATTTATAGCTTCAAATATTTACTAGTCTAAAATAATTGTTCAACCATACTTGAAATTCTTCATATCTGTAATGAATATATAAATATTCTCTCAAAAAATATAAGATCTTATTCCAGTACATATGAAGACTAGGTTTAAATATTACATCAAAATATACAATCCATTATAGCTGACCTAAAGAAATAAAAATATATGACGTACACTGAGACAGAAATATAAAAACATTTGAAATTTTAACAAATACTAAAATAATAACAGTCGCAAAATCCTGAAAGATTCTGATAAATACCAATAACTTAATACTAATGTGTTTTGTAAAGTAGAGAGAATTAACAGAGGAAGTGCGCAGAGTTAAAAAAAAAAAGTCAGATCCTATAATATAATACAAGTACTGTGTAAACAAAAGTTTGGAACTAAACAGAACATTATCCAATTCAAAAAGCATTATCTACCAACTTCCTTATACACAGAGCTTTAGGTTAATAAGTGCTCAAGAAATCCTTCATTTCTTACTGAACAGCTTAGATTCGTATAGGGCCTTAAAAGATACATTGCAAAGTAGAGACATGCAAGAAACCACTGATAAATCAACACCATATGACTTGTTCTTCTGCCATCAATCAACAGGAAATTCACTAGACTGATAAGGGTTAGCAAACTCAAACACATTTTTAGACTAATTATTTCAGTATTTATTACCGAGCTTAAAAAGAGAGTTACCGTTAAAAATAAGTTATGTGAGTGGCCATCACAAAGGATAAGACACAGAGATTAGTTAACCCTTTTCTCAAGTATGATTTGTTCAAAAGTGTACCGATGTAAACAAACTTAAATCCAAGATAGATCGTAGAGCATGCTACAAATACAACACAAATAGTATCGTGCATGGTGTTTTTTACATTAGCTGAAATGCAATAGTAACAGAACTGATGGGCTATAATGAGGGATTATTACACAATATTACAAAGATTTTTACACCATTGCTGAGGCAAACATCCAAGTGAATGTTACATTAATATCAGCACCATACAAATGATAGACAATTGGATTACAGCCAGAAATATGTACATGTGTGTGTGTATATATATATATATCCATATTCAGTGTTTCTCACCCTTTTTGTCCTCTCAAACATTTATGAGTATCAAATATAACATTGCTGAGCAATGACAGACCAGGTCGAGTACATCACACAATATGTATCTAAACAAAACAATACCATAAGCAATGGCCAGCTCTTTAATTCTTTAATCATATATTAAATATAAAGCTGAATCCTTTACATCCCACACTTATCTGTTACTGGCCTATCTCAAGTTAGTGTTCCAAACTCAGTCTGGCATTATGTGATAAAACACTGTCAGAACTGGGTCTTGATAGCTTTATATGCCACAGATTTGGTCCACTATCATCAGTGACTCGTATACCATTATAATCGGCCCTTGAGTTAAATCATGGATTCAGTCCTGTATCATCAGTGATCCAAGCACTATTAGTATTGGGTCTTTATACCTTTATGTCATGGATTTAGTTCTGTATCATCAGTGATCCAAGCACTATTAGTATTGGGTCTTGATATCTCTATATCACGGTTTCAGTTGTGTACTGTTAGTGACCCTAACACCATTAGTACTGGATTTTGATTCTTTATGTCAATGGATTCAGTCATTTATAATCACTGATTCAAAAAACATTGAGATTCAGCAAATGAGAACTTAAGAAGGTGATTTATTTCATATCAGTGCCCAAAACACCATCAGAATTTGGCCTTGATAATAGAAGAATATAAACTATATTTTAACATCAGTGACCCAAAAAGTAAAATAAGGCCCAAGGTATTTGAGAACATGAGTATTTAATTTCAACACTCAAACAATCATCTTTAAATTATGGCTTTGGTAAGACAGCTTGAGAACAACTCTCTCTTCCATCAATATTAATTGAACACCACCAAAAGCCCAATAACTCATATTCATTGACCGAGGAAGAAATTTACTTCCCCAAATCTAAGTTTACTAAAAACAAATGTTTTGATAGAAGAAAAGTTAGTGAGAACTAAAATATCTCTAAGCACATTTTTACACTACAACTGGTTTCGTCAAGACTTACACAAAATTAACAACACAACAACAACAACAGACTTCAAAGTACTTCGCAGCATACTTGTAGTTGCAGCAAAGAAACAATTTTAAAAAATAACAAAAGGATTATCTGATCTGCATCAGTGTTAATCATAGTCTGTGAGAGCCAAGGACTTTAATTACACGCCACTTTTCGAGAAGGCTTTTAATACTATTTTGTAAAATACTTCCAGGAAGGACAGAACTAAATGACAAGGAGTTACTATAATGATGACTTACAGTGAGAAAATCTATTTAACTATCTTACAGCTGGCTGGGAAGTTTAGAAACAAATTGGTATTGCTCAGTTTTAAGTTTTCTCATGAAATATATTTATGTAAGAAACTGCCTGAAAAACATTAAGAATGGCTGATTATAAGGACAGTTGATGCTATTATGTGTAATCAGATCAACATGGTCAAGATATAAATCAGGCTATACAATAACACCAGTTTTCCTACTAAATATGTTAGAATGTGTACTGTACCAATGACAGAGTTTGAGATAAAAGCAATGCGCAAATTTAACAAGATCAGAAATCACAACACTTCAAGCAAGAACGTGTGATCTCACTGGATGTTTCACACCCTCTTCTTTTTCCAAGACAAATGTATACATGATATAAACATGTGGTACAATGTTTTAGAGTTAAGAATGGTATGTCACTTCAGCAAGTTACAAATATATATAGTAATGATAACTGCCAACCCATAACTAGTTAATGGTAAGGACTGTTTCATCGATGGATAATGGCTTCTGTGGTGACAGAGTTGATACTGTTTACTGTTTCCGTTGCGACAGACCCCATGCTTCCATGGCTCTGTGGGAAAGCAACCTCTAAATTATCTTCGCTGTGATAAATGTCACTGGTTGAAGACATTCCTGTTTCTTCCGTGAGAAAAATAACCTGAAATTAATAAAAGACATCAGCTTCAGTTTCAATCTGAATTTTGTATTTCTTCTATTTTAGGCACAAATGCAGTGTTAGAGCAATATGCAATTTTTTCACTAAATCTAATATGATGTGGCTTTTAAAATTAATAAAGTACATGCTACATAAAAGAAATACAATACAGAAATGCTGTATTCTGCTTCCAATACATTTCTTCAAAGGTTCCTTGAAAGTTATACAAGATATATTTCAATTGTTTATAGAAAAAATTAAAACTGCTATTCCTCCTATATACAACTTACCCTTCCATTCCTCCTATATACAACTTACCCTTCCATT